TATATATATATATTCTGCATATATATATATATAGAAGAGGCATGATCCGACTGTGTGCAGCCGGGAATCTTCTGACACTTTTCGTGCAAATCAGCCTCGATGCGAAAATCTAGCTCCTGCTCACAGTCGGGACAGACTGCAACCCAAAGCACCCCTGAAACTGAAAATAAAAAGACCACCATGGCCCTAAGGAGATCCGGTTTCCCCATTATCTCCTTCTTGAGCTCTTCCATGGCCCACTCCATCATCCATTTCACAGGAATGCCTGACAAGAAGACTTCGAGCCTTCGTGACAATCCTGAGAAAGGCCTCGAAGGCTCTCGACCGCTGGGCCTGTTGTCGACTCGTACATCCCGAGGAGTCCGAGATAGTCGCCCACGTCATGGTCGAACGTTTGGGCAGTGCTGCGGCGAAGTATCCTTGGATTCATAGCTTCACCATAATAACACCTGCCTCGTGAAAAGACCTGAAATAGGTAGGAAGTTGGAAGTGCTGCAAGTACGTGTTTGCCTGTGATGTGATGTGATGTGGCTTGCAGCTGTAGCTGCAGCCGCCCGCACTCTTCCCCCCCCCACATCGCAGGGCGGCTCCGAAAACGTCATGGCCGACGTGTTTGCCTCGAGTTTCTTACATAACAGTGAGCAGGCAGCGCTTCACGATTTCCGGGATCCGAGGTTGCAAGAAAAGGCTGCAGTGAGTATTCGGATCTTGGAGATCGAGGAGAAGCATGCTTGTATGAAACTGAGTGGACTAGACTTTGCTAGTTTCGGAGAGGTTCACGATGTGGGACTGTGACCAACACTCCTGACACCATCCTGCAAGATCTAGAATACTCCGAGGTGCTTCACAGCCACTTTGTCTCCAGTTTTCCTCTGTGCCACGTGGACCTGTGCGATGGATGCAGCATTGACAGGATCCTCGGAAAAGGACTCGTAGACCATGTCGATTCCGCCAGGGGTGTGCTTTTCGACGCGTTCGGAGATCTCGCCCCACGACTGGGCATCTGCAGAGTCCTGCAGAGACTGGAACTCCTCCAGAACCTCTTTTGGGAATGCATAATCCATGGAAGACGCTGTCTGAGCTGCTTTGACATAAATTCCGCCCTTTCTGCGGCAAAGGTTGGCGATTTGTCGACCTGCCACGGTGGGGTCACTACTCATGGTGAAGGAGAAGCCAATCATGGCCACACTTGCCCAGGTGCTCATGGATCGTCCTAAGCTGGAAAGGACACCCAGCGCTTCGTCTCCTGAGTCCTCCTCTTCCTCGATCTTCCATCTCTCCCTGCTTGCCTGCTCTCGCACTTCCAAACGGCCCGACACGATCGCCTCCAGTTTCGCCTTTCTCACACCTTCGGCCTCCTTGGCGGCCTCTGCCTGCTTGGCGGTCTCGGAATCTTCTTCCGCTTCTTTGCCATCCTCGGCTATGTCTGTCACGTCGCGTTCAGGAACATCCGTCGCGATCTGGCTTGGGTCTTCCGCGGCTTCCGCCTCCGGTTGACCCGCTTCGGCACTGCGACCGTCAGGCGACTTCCCCTGGTCTCGGTCAATCGAGTCTTGAATGAAATCATCCGTCTCCTTGCTGCTTTCGCACTTGGACGTGTGCAGATACATGCGGTATTCATCCTCCATGTGATTCCTCATCAACCTTCCCAGTAGCTCATCTGCTGCGCTGTCGCCCAGCGCCTTGCGGCAGTGATGCCCGGCTGCGGCATCATCTGAAGCGTGCATGATAGGAAGATGGTTGTCTGCAGACAAACCGTGGCAAACCTATGACCGAGGGGCTGCAAGAGCTTCACGAACTTGGATCCACAGCGAACATTTCACACTGGCTACACCCCACACTCTTCTTGAAGCACTTGTTCGACGACGGTAACAGCAACACAACGACAGTTGCGAATTGGGCTTAGCTGAAGGCTCAAGCGGCTCCAGAAATGACGACGAGTGGGATGATCAGGGGCACTTTCACACAGGAGTCACGTCCAGGCCAGGAAGGGTCTACAAAGGGATGCCAGATTTCTACTCTCAGTTTTGCATCGCTTCAAGCTGTTGTGTTGACAAGCAGCTTGCAATCGCGCTTTCCATTCCTAATCTAAGGTGAAACATCTCTGAGCTGCGCTGGCATTTCTGACAGCCCGGGAAAAGTCACACTATCTTCAGCATGACATCAGGCAACGTTTAAAGCATACTTTAAAACTAAGGAAGGACCCAAGGAGCAGCACAAGTCGTCCCAATGACTCCTTTGCGCGGGTGCCTGCGTCGACCTGCAACCACGCATGTGGTGGTTGCTTCTTAAGGTAAATTGGCACGGGATTTTGCTCTTTCCACCCGAAGCTGCTGCAGCTGAAATCGCCGCTCCTCATCGAAGGCAGAGAGAATCCGCTGAGCTTCGCCCATTGCATCCAGGATGTCAGTGGGAAGCTTGTTTCGCGAACGTCTCCTGAGCGCTTTGCGCTGATTTTTTCTCTCCTCTTCAAAAGCAGCCAAGCAGTTCTCTGCTTCTGCCATTGCACGTCGAACATCGCGGAAGTTGCAAAACTCTGCGAATTTTGAAGATCCTGTCTGCGAAAAACGTCCGGTCCGTCCAAGAACAGATGCGGTCTCTGTTCCTGACGGAGAGCTGTCCACCTGCTCAGGTGAGCTCATCATCCAAGTGTCACTCGTAGCTGCGAGTTCTTGGCCTTTTGATGACCGGACCTTCGACATGTCTTTCTGCTGCAGCGGAGTCATCTTCTCAGCCGCCTTCTGCAACCACGCCTCCCTCGTCTCTGTCTCAGCAGCACACTCGGATGCAACCTGCTTAATGACATCACACAACTGAGATGATGCTGCAAACGACGGCGACGAAGACCCGCTGAACCTTTCACCCAATGCTGCAGCGATTGCAGCATCCACTTGCCATGAGGCACTCAAGCCGGAGCGGTGTGCAGCTGCAGCTGCCAGTGCAGCAGGAGATCCATCTGCGCCAGGCAGATTCAGGCTACAACCTTGAAGAGCTTCGCGCACGCTTCTCGCGAAGAAATAAGCGTTCTCCGCCAAGGTGCTGCAAGCCTCGCCACCGGGTGCAGGCACTTGCATCTGTTGCACAACTTCGTACAGTGCCTGCTGCACGGTAGAGGCATGTTCGTCCGGCGCTGCAGTCGAGATTGCTTCATATGCTGCCTGGGCTGCTGCCTGAAGCCTCTCAATAGTTGTCCCCGTTGTGGCAGCTAAAGCTGCTGACGCAGCGGCTTTGGCAACTTGCAGCTGATTGCCATCATGTTCAGGAGAGGCTTGTTCTTTCATTGTCCTCACCGTCACAGTAGGTCCTTTGTGTGGGGCAGCGTCGCGAGAGATCACCGTGACCTAGCAGGCAGGCTGGTTTGAAACGAGAGGCTCCTTACCGGTGTCTGAAGCATGAGGCGGACTCTGGTGGTGCTCTGAAGTAGAGAGTTCTCTTTGTTTTTATGAAGACCGAAGAGCCTAAAGGCCTAAAGGCATCAAGGGGCCTCCTTTGCCTCCTTTGCGAGAACCCTGGCCCTAGTGCTGTTTCTCTCGCCGGCCTTTGGTGCCTCGTCCCTCGACAGAGCTCGAGCAGTCTTGCGCACGACGGTGACTTTCACGGCTTCGCCCATCCGCGCTGGTTTGGGCGAGATCGACTTTATTTTGACCCTGGTAGGTGAATGGCTTGCTGCGGGCGGAAGTGGTGGCTTTGCCTGGACCCTAGGCTCCACTGGAGCCTTGGGCATCGGTGTCTGAGGAGGTGCAGGTTTTGGCCCAACTACTGGCTGCACTTTCAACACTTTCACGGGAGCCTTAGGCACAGGCTGGATCAAGGGAAGGTCAACGTTTGGCTTGGTCACTGTCTCTGGCGGTTCTGGTGGTTTCGGCGTCTCTGGTGGTTCTGGCGGCTGCGGTGGCTGAGGTGACTGTGATTGCTCGTCTGGCTCCGATGGCTCTGGTGGCTGGGGTGGCTGTGGTTTCTGTGGTGCTCCCTGTTCCGAGCTTGGCTCAGCTGCTACGGATAACCTGGAAAGAAACTGCCGCTTCAGGAAGAGCTCTGGGAGGACAACATCCTCGGGACGCTCCCACATGGTCTCGCTGGTCTCCACATTGAAGAAGTACTCCATGTCATCCTCATCTAGTGCGGATTTCCATTTCGAGATCTCAGATTCTGCCTGACCGTCCCATGTACTTCCCAAGAAGGCCAGGTGATCGGCCCTAGATTGCTCACGCAAACCCAGGTAATACCTTGCAACTGCTGCCAGCTCCAATAAGACAGAGTTGAGGGGATGCTGCCATGAGGTGATTCCCGTCGACTTCTGGACAAAGAAGAAGCGGCTGTTGGCCTTGTCATTCCATATTCTCCACGGGGCGGGCAATGGTGCAATTTTCAAGACACTTTGAAAAGTCAGCAACAACATCTCCTCCCCCGGGATGTCAACGATGCCTTGCGTGGTCAAGTAGTACTCCCAATTGTCGTCGAACAGTGCATGATTCGATAGTTTTCGAGAGCTTCTCCTGCTCTTTCTCATCCTTGAAACCGAAGAGATTGAAGAGTTCGAGGTGGAAGCCATCGTAGACTGACTGTCTCGATCCCGCTCTCTGCTTGTGCTTCCCCTACGCTCAATCGGCGCAGGTTTGCAGAGACTCAGTCTCTTGAGAAATTGCTTCTTTAAGTAGAATCCGGGGAGCACTGCTTCTGCTGGTCTCTCCCACATCACTGCCTTCGTTTCCACGTTGAAGAAATACTCTCTGTCCTGCTCATCATATGCAGCCTGCCATTTGAGGATCTCTGCCCGTGCTTCGGTGTCCCATGTTTTGTTCAATGCTACGAGATGTTCGGCCCTGGTGGCAAACGGCAGAGTGAAGAATCGACGTCCAACTTCTGCTAGAGAAACGAACACATCGTGCAGGGGATGGGTCCATGATGTCTCGCGAGTTGCAGCATTGGTAAAGAAAAGAGTCTTAGCGCCCTTGTCGCACCACATACTCCATGGTGCTGGCAGGGGAGCTCCTTTGAGGACAGCCTGAAAGACTTGGAGAAGCTCCTCATCGTCAGGGAGCTTCAGGATCTCCTTGCTTAGATAGCTCTCCCAGCTCACCGACATGTGGCTCTGCTCGATAAGGGGAAGACTTGGTCGTAAACCGTATCCGCCGCATCCTTCCTGACCAGGCCGGTCTCCGTACGCGACTTCACTCTTCTCCTTGTGAGACGAAGCGTTGCTACAATGCGCACTCAGATTTCTCAGGTACTGCTTTTTGAGGTAGAAGGCCGGGAGCAGTGCGTCGACCGGCCGTTCCCACATAGCTGCCTTTGTCTCCACGTTGTAGAAGTACTCGGCACCATTGTCGTAGGCAGACCTCCACCTCAAGATCTCTGCACGTGCCTCGGCTTCCCATGTTCGGTTCAACGCCGCCAGGTGCTCGGCCCTGCTGGCAAAAGGCAAAGCCAAGAATCTCTGAGCCACACCGGCCAAGTCAAGAAGTAATGAATTCAAAGGATGGGTCCAGGAGGTTTCTCCAGTGGAAGAGTTCGTGAAGAACAAGGAACTGCTCTGCTTGTCGTGCCACATGCTCCATGGTGCCGGCAGTGGGGCCCCACGCAGGGAAGACTGAAAAACATCCAGGAGCAGCTCGTCATCCGCTGAAACGATTCCCTGTGAAGTCAAGTAGCCTCGCCAGCTGTATTCGCTGTACTGAAGGGTCATCCCTAGTCGCCCTGGTCATCTCTCTGGTCCCCGAGGCTCTCTCTCGGGCCAAGCTCCCTGCGAGCCACGGTAACCCGGTAAAGACAACCCCGGCATGTTTGCACAGGAACATGGCGGCAGGCAGCGCATCTTTCAAACACTCTGCATGAAGCTGCAGCAGTTCAGAACGAGCATGCACAGTTGCGCTCCATTGGCAGAGGTGTGGTGGTGACACATTGCTGTGGCCACTTGCGAAGAAGACATTCAGCTTTCTACTGTGAAAGCACACTCTGCTGCTGTAGGATGAACGCACTTAGCACCCGTCAATAGCCGGCACAGCCTTTTCATGAGTTGTGAAACAAACTGTATGCGAGGCCTGCTCAGCATGTTGCTGCCCACAATGCCTGGCAGTCGCAAATGCCTAGGCCTATGATCGCCACCAGACTGGGTTCCCTGCCTGCTCAGATGCGAAGGCTCACTTCTTGGGAGCTTGAAGCATTGCCTCTAGCTGCTCCTGCTCAGTAATGCCGGTCATGTCAAACTTCGTGCAAGCCGCTTGGAGCTTGTCTTTCGGCTCTTCTAAACAATTACACAGTCCTTTCGCTGTGCATTGAGCTTCTTCAAGCTTTCGACCTGACAGCTCACGATGGATCGGGTATGGGCTGGGCAGAAAGGTAGCAAACCCGGAGAGGCCTCCTCCTTGTGTTTGCGCTCTTCTTGTTCCCGTCGCTCTGCTTCATGCTTCTCTATCTGGGTGATCTTGTTCTCCAGCTCCTACTAGACTCGTTTACCCGACACACAGGTTCGCCTTGAAGTCCATCCTGCCTCTACCTCATCCCGGAGCTTCTTGTTTGCAACCTGGAGGTCCTGACACAGCAGACATGGTGAACGCACTGCTGCAAGCAGCAAACAATGATACCAAGAACGAGCAAGGGCAAACAAAAAGCGCAGTACGATCTGATGGATGACAAATCAATGACCGCAGCGACGACAGCGACGACGACAGGCAAATCCGCCCCGACGAGAGTGAAACTGAAACTTCACAAGTCAAAGCTCCGAAGTAGTGGCATCATGCCTTGCTTAGGGCTGTCCTTCATTTTCTTGTTGTGCTGATTTCTGCGCTGCTCCGCCTGCAAAGCCTGGAGAGGGTAGGTGCAAGGAGCAAGCAAGTGTGTCAAATTCCAGCGAAATAGCCTTCCGCATGCCAAAGGCGATGGAGGACTCATAAAGGCTTTGATACGCACATATCGTCATCCTTGCCGAAGGCTGCACACTGGAGCTCGATGCTGCATTCCTATCGCAAGCCAGATATGCGCGCCTGATCTCATCTCGTACTCGGAGCAGGAGCAGACCGCGCTCTGCACAAATGATTGTGACCTCGCAAGTCAAGCCACCTCAACAAAACAGAAAAAGCCCGGGAATGTGCACAAGAAGCTGCCTGGCGAATCAGTTCGTCAAAGCACTGGGAGTAGAGCTCCTTCGGAAGTTGACAGGTCACTTTAGTAGATTCCATGGCGTATCGTTCCAGCATTGCACCGAGTCCTCACGGATTGGACAGATGCCTGTCTCACGTGCCTTGCCAACACAAGTCTTCGCTGAATGCATCTATTAATACAAGACTTCTCTGAGAGCATCTGTTGGCGATATGCACAGTACCGAGACGAGAGCAAGTCTGGGTTCACAGAATGTGTGTATGTATGTGTGTATGTATACACATTTCTTCTTATTTACGTATTTACCTCTTGACAAACACATAAACATATGTGGGCATATGTGTGTATATACATATATACATCCGTCTGAACTTTGTACGTCCTTCGAACATACAACTCTGTGCACATGCATACATACATACATACATACATACATACATACATACATACATACACACACACACATACACACATACATACATACATACATACATACATACATACATACATACAGGCATACATACATACCTAA